TTTTTATCCTTGTAAATTTAAGTTCCTTATACATGCTGCATATCAGACCTTTGTCAGATGCATAGTTTGTAAATTTTGTCTTCCATTCTGTAGGTTGTCTGTTTACTCTGTCGATAGTTTCTTTTGATGTGTGAAGCTTTTAAGTTTACTTAGATCCAATTTGGCAATTTTTGCTCTTGTTGCAATTGCTTTTGATATCTTTGTCAAGAAATCTTTGCCTGTTCCTATGTCCAGAATGGTATTGCCTAGGTTGTCTTCCAGGGTTTTTATAGTTTTGGGTTTTACATTTAAGTCTTTAATCCATCTTGAGTTAATTTTTGTATATGGTATAAGGAAGGGGTTTAATTTCAATCTTCTGCATATGGCTAGCCAGTTACCCTAGCACCATTTATTGAATAGGGAGTCTTTTCCCCATTGCTTTTGTCAGCTTTGTCAAAGATCAGATGGTTTAGGTGTTTGTTCTTATTTCCAAGCACTCTCTTCTGTTTCATTGATCTATGTGTCTGTTTTTGTGCCAGTACCATGCTGTTTTGCTTACTGTAACCCCGTAGTATAGTTTGAAGTTGGATAGTGTGATGCCTTTGACTTTGTTCTTTTTGCTTAGAATTGCTTTGTCTATTTGGGCTCTTTTTTGGTTCCATGTGAATTTTAAAATAGTTTTTTCCAGTTCTGTGAAGAATATCATTGTTAATCAGACAGGAATATTATTGAATCTCTAAATTGCTTTGGGCAGTATGGACATTTTAATGATACTGATTCTTCCTATACATGAGCATGGGATGTTTTTCCATTTGTTCATGTGAGCTCTGCTTTCTTTGAGCAGTGTTTTATAATTCTCATTGTAGAGATTTTTTACCTCCCTGGTTAACTGTTTTCCGAGATATTCTGTTTGTTTTGTGGTAATTGTGAATGAGATTGCATTCCTGATTTGGCTCTTGCCTTGGCTGTTGTGGGTGTATAGGAATATTAGTGATTTTTGTATGTTGATTTTGTACCCTGAAACTTTGCCGAAGTTGTTTATCAGCTGAAGGAGCTTTTGGGCTGAGACTATAGGGTTTTCCAGATATAGAATCATGTCATCTGCAAACAGGGATAGTTTGACTTCCTCTTTTCCTATTTGGATGTATTTAATTTCTTTCTCTTGCCTGATTACTCTGGCCAGAACTTTCAATAATATGTTGAATAAGAGTAATGAGAGAGGGCATCCTTGTCTTGTTCTTGTTTTCAAGAGGAATGCTTCCAGCCTTTGCCTATTTAGTGTGATGTTGGTTGTGAGAGTACCTCATTCTTGATTATGAACAGACAACAAAGGATCATCAGCCTTCTGAGCAGAGCCTCAAACATGAAAGCCAAAAAGCAAAACAAAGAGTCTCAAAGAGAAACAGAAGCAATGCAGTAAACTGAAGAAATCTTCAAAAACACAATAGAATTGATATCCTCAAAGAAATACAAATTGTATTCATGGGACAAGAAAAGGGGCAATTAAAAAAGACCTTTTGGAGAATAAGAAGAATTTTTGGTAGTTAGAATATGATAGCAGAAGTTAAAACTTTGATAGGATGGAAGATAATGAAAGAATACAAAGTTAAAAGTGGTAAAATGGTAGAGAAAGGATAAGAAAGTTAAGAGATCTGTTCAGGAAATTCCACCTCTGAAATAATAGAAAGATGTTCCTGACAGAAACAGAAATTTGATTGGAAAGCATCATTCTCCCTAGGGTAAATTTCTGAAAACCAAAAAAATCAATTTCTAAAGGAAGTACTCACCAAGTGCTCAGCACAGAGAATGACAAAAGATTAACGTGATGATACATTGTGATCAAATTGAAGAATCCCAAGTGAAAAGTAAAAAATTTTATTTCAGAAAAAGCTTGTGAAGCAGGGGGAAGGTGGGGGGGGCCCACCATACATCACACAAAGAAATAGAATTGAGAACGTCATTGGATTTCTCAGCAGCATCACTGGAAATTAGGAAACAATGGAATGGTATCCTAATTTTCTGGTGAATATTTTTTCAAATATATGATTTTCTATTCAGTCAAACTGTTCTGTGTGAGATAAAATAACGTGTTCAGACATCCAGCGTCGCAAATTTACTTCCAATGCATAGGAAATTTCTGGACGATTTGTTCCAAGGAGTAAACCAAGAGGAAGAAAACTTCAGAACCAGGGTATAGGAGAATTGACATGAAAGAGAGATGAGGACAGTTCCTGAAGTGATGGAGAAGGGAAGTCTTATGATAACAGTTGTGTAGTCAAACCAGAGCATAAACCAGACTACAGCAGGGGAATGGAAAGCTCCAAGAAGGCTACCTCCTGGAAAAGAAATGATTTGGAAAGATTATCTGTTGTGTCTGAAGGTGTCGGGAGAAGAATTACCTCTCCATCAAAGATGGAAGAAGAATAAAATGATGGTACCCAGAAAACTACGAAAGAAGAAAAGGAGACAATTTTTAATTCCAGAGACAACAGAAGGTTGTACAAGAAAGAAATATAATCATGGCATTATATGTGGCTCACAAGTGAATAACAATATAACTACTAAATATAATTTAATAAAAAGTACTGATTTAACTATATTGGGAGGATTAAGAGAAGAGCATGTAGATATGCGTAGGAGGGTCAATTCTTATTAACTACCTACCTCAACATTCATTTTGCCTTGTAAGTAGCAGAATATATCTGGGCGCTAATCTTTAAAGGACGACACCTTCCAGCTGCATGTACAGCTAAGTATGGCCATATATCTAAGTTCAGTAGAAGTATTCAGTGGTACTTTAAGGAGATTGACTTAAAAGGGATGGAGTAGGCCATTATTCTCCTCTACCTAGCCTGGAATGGGAATGTAATGATTGAAGCTTTCACCACCATCATGGACTATGACAATAAAGTACAGATACCAAAGATGGTAGACCAGAGAGTTGGAAGGATATGAGGCCCTAATAACACTATAAAGCTGTGATATTAGCACTGAACTGATTACCAATGCATTTGCTTTATGTGAGATTATATATATATATTTATGCCATTATATTCAGGTGTCAATTATATGTAGCACAACTAGATCTTAACTGATATGTATCACTAAATACACTAAATAATATATAAAATTAAATATTAGGAAATATCAGTGTAAACATGTTAGTAATATGAGTGATACAGTAATATGGAGATCAATGCTAGGAGAAACGGAAAAAAACATTAAACGTGGTTGCCTTTGGCGGTGGGAATTAGAGTAGAGGCACATGATTACTATTTTTTTTATAACTCTTTTAGTCATTGTTACAGTTTGGATGTGGTTTGTCTTCACCAAAACTCATGATGAAATTTGGGCCTCAATACAGCGTCATTGGGTGGTATGGCTTCGTCGGAGGTGTTTGGGTCATAGGGGCAGATTCTTCATGAATAGATTAATCCCCTCCCTTGTGAGTGAATGGAGTTTTTGCTCTGGCAAGAATGGATTAGTTCCCAAGTTAGCAGGTTGTTAAAATACAGGGGAAGAGGTGCATGGCCACCAGCTTTCAGCCCATTGTCCTTATTCTTTGGCTTGCAAATTAAGAGTCCCTCTAACTCACTTGACTTTCCTTTTGTCAGAGTTGTAGATCTCCAGAGATGTCCCCAGATGCTCCACATTAAAGATACATCCTTTCATTGCTTTTTCCCCCCAGCAATTATTAAGTGTTTACTAGAGAACTAATTCACATTATCATGGCTGGAAATATTCGCTGATGCTCAATTCCCCTAATCTATAGATTGAGTTGGTTTAAGGTCTCCTTTGTATTACGAGCATTGTTGTTCCTACTGATAGTGACTTCGTTCTTGATTCAGGCAGACAGCTACTATGCTGCCATAAAAACCAATTAGGTGGGAGCTTATTCCTCTGCTGGATTGTGTGGTAACTGGTCTTACCCAAGACTTTCATGTGAGAAGAAGCACCTTCTCTTTATCAGGAAATTTCTAGCATTTCTTGTTATTCACAGCTGAATGTAATGCCTCAGTTCATTTTCAATTGATAATATGTGATAAAAAATGTGTTTTCTTGGCAACCAGTATTTCTGCACATTTATCTTAGAAATAGATTAATAACTGTTTATAGCAACTACATGCTAACACATCTTACTGTCTTTTTAATTAATTAAGCTAAACATCCCATTGCCGTGATGTATTAGATCAAGTTTGTAACGTTACCATATTATTCTTTGGACATTGTGAGTTAGTGTTACCATGTGGATAAAATGTCAGGCGTCTTTTTCCTCATGTAAATTTTACTTTTCATGCTTATATACTTACAGTTTTAATTTTGAACCTAAGTTTTCATTCATTCATTATACCAAAAGTTAACTCATATTCTTCCGAATGACTTCTTACCAAAAGCCACACACAAAAAAAAGAATTTGGCTTCCTTGATTTTTTTTCTCTCTTGCTCCCTTTCTCACCATGTGATCTCTTTGCACGTGCCCCCTTCCACTTTCTGCCATAAGTGGAAGAAACATGAGGCCCTCACTGGATGCAGCTATCCAATCTTGAATTTTTCAGTCAACAGAATCATGAGCAAAGTAAACCTTTCTTTATAAATTACCCAGCCTCAGGTATTCTTTTATAGCAACACAGGATGGACTAAGACAGTAATATTTGACATTTTAAATTTGAACCTGTATTACTTTAAGTGAAAATTAAATTAATATTTTAGTTATGTTGTGATTAATATTTATGTTCATTGTAAACAGTTGAACAATACAAAAGAATATAGAGGAAAAGTTCTGCCTGTCTTCAATATTCTTTACTTTTCCCCCCTGCCCGTAAATTCCACTCTCCTCCCCAGGGTTTAGTTCCCAAGATTTGGTCTCTCTATATTTTTTCTGTACATTCATATAGCATATATAAGAGACATAGTTTCTTCTTCTACTCCTTTTTATTAAAAGTAAGTATATTTAAATGGTAACTTAAAAATAGTACATCCATAGGAGAGAATACTTAAGGGATGTTTGTTTATATTTTTAGAATTTACAATGTAGGCATGCAGTTAAAAAATCAACAAAATGAATTTCAGAAAGTAGAGAAACAACTGAGTCATTTGCAAGATGAGTTAAAAATTAAATATAGACAATCATACATCTTCAGGTAAGATTAAAGAACTGAAAATTATAAAGATTGAAAAGATATGCTTAATACTAACTTTGCAAATAGCCAAACATATTTTAGTAATATGGTTTCTTTTCTTTTTTTTTTTTTTTGAGATGGAGTCTTGCTCTGTCGCCCAGGCTGGAGTGCAGTGGCTTGACCTCTCACTGCAAGCTCCACCTCCCGGATTCACATCATTCTCCTGCCTCAGCCTCCCAAGTAGCTGGGACTACAGGTGCCTGCCACCACACCCGGCTAATTTTTTGTACTTTTAATAGAGACGGGGTTTCATCATGTTGGCCAGGATAGTCTCGATCTCCTGACCTCGTGATCCACCTGCCTCAGCCTCCCAAAGTGCTGGGATTACAGGTGTGAGCCACCGCGCCCGGCCAGTAATATGGTTTCTATATCTGGTGTGATTGAAAAAAGTGAAACAGCATTACGTTTTCTTTTTTCTTTTTTAAACCATTATCTCAATGAATAGTGTTGCTAATTAAATTTAAATTAGACATATACCTTGTTCTATTAGTGCCTTGTTATTGTTCTTATTTTGTGGGTGTCATTTAGAATGAAAGCACAGTAACTAATTCCCCTCTTCACCAATATTTCTTGGTGTAGTTGATCCTCTGAGTGATAGTCCAGTGACAAGAAAAGTAGTAGAATAGGAAAACTTCCTAAATAATATTAACATAGTCCTTAAATTCAGAAATCTCTAGTGTAAAGCATGTCAATTCTGCTTTTATATAATCTTTGGAGGGTTTATAATACCTAACGATAAAATCCAGCATTCTAAAGAAACTAGGAAGTACATTTTCTTTCCTAAAAATTGAATTGAATATTTTGAGAATGTTTATGAGAAAGAATAATTCCTTTTTGAATTGAATAACTTTTAGCTCTTAGAAAAGGGAAAGCAATGAGTTAATTCAACCCGGCAAATGACACAGGTTCTGGATGACTAAAAAAGTATGCTGGGTGAATGTTTTGAATGATAAGTTTTTGCTTTTTATCTAATAATTACTACCAGGAATTTTCTGAAAAAAATTCTGTGGGCCAATAATTTTTAATTCATTATCTGATAATAACCTATTGAACATCTACCTTTTATAAATGCTTTGCACATAACTGATGCTCAATACATAATTTTTGAATGAATCCATGAATGAAATCTACTCACAAAACAAGTGACCATTTTTATCATCAGAAATCCCCTTGATTCTTTCCTAGAAATCTGGTGTTGAACCAACAGGATAATGCCATTCAGGTGACCTCAACTTTTGTATTTTAATCAGGACTATCAGTATTCACTTTTGGCTTCTGTAATAGCTTTGATCCACATCTGCTGTAGAAGGCTCATCTGATTTATCCACTAGAGCCTTCATGAATGATAAGATTGACCTTTAAAGGCTGGATTGGGACTAGATCAAATAATTATTGCTGCTTCAGGATATTATGGGACGGATACACTTGATCTTAATTATTTTCATTTTTGCATGTTATCTTCAGTATTTTAAATTTTTGAAGAAACGTAGACATATAAATAGAGTGTTATTTTTATTCTGTATTCTAATTTTGTCATCATTTTGAGTTATACTTTTAACAGCTTATTTTGTTCACATGTTTTCATAGATCTGTGATTTTTGCTCATTTTTAGCTAAAAGATCACAAATTAGGAGTCTGGAATCTGACTTATATAAAAATAGTATATACTAAAAACAATTTTGGAAGTAACTAGTCAACTAGACACTTAGTACAAATTACAGTTTGTAATAGATGAATAGAAATAATTATTGTTTTTATATTCTCACTGGTAGACATAATGCATTCCATAGAAAAAGGCATACTGTTAAAATCAAACCAAATTTCTAGAGTTCATTGACTTTTGTTGCATTAGTGAAAGCTGATTTTAAGCTAGATTATTGATTATTTTAAAAATATTAGGCCATAAAACTGAGTGATTGCTCTGGATAAAGAAAAGGAGCTTATAATCTTCTCTCTTGAAGAGGTAAAGGATTCATGGGCCAAAACATGGGATGAAAAAAAAAAGAGGTAAGGGAAAGAAACATGAGCTTTCTACTCAGATATAATCATCTTTATTTATGGAGCCTAAAAGGAACTTTCAGTAGATCAGTGAACTATGTTTCGGGGTCCATTGCTGTTTTTAAATTCTTCTCTCATTTGTTTAATTACAATTGGGCTTAATCACTAGCCTTCAGCAAAGTATTCTTTCATGTTCTGTGTTTTCCATGACATCACTTCCAGCCTGTGTCTTGCAAGGGCTCAGCATATTAGTTGGCACATTGGTTGGCTCAGCACATCTGTTACTCAGAATAAAGTGTTTTTTGAAAATGCAAATTAATTGTAGAAGGCCTATAAAGTAGCTATTAAAAACCTGAATGAAATATAGATATACTTCACCTCACAAAGTTGTGTTTAAGTTCAATATTCCAAATCAGACCATATTTGAAATATTCTATCAGTATTTACTTTTAGAGAATTATTTTGAATCTTTTTAAAATTATTTGAAATAAAGAGTATTTATCCTTTAATTTTTCTTATTTGTAAAGCTAGACCTTGTCATCTCTAGAATTTTCAATGTCAACTCCAAAAATTTCTCTTGCAGCTCTTTCACTTTCACTTCACTCCTTCAGTCTAATTAAGGATGCTAGTATTTTTTCTTATTTTCCCAACCATATTTTGACTTTACTTTGTTTTCTATCCTTGATCCCAAGTTTATTACCCCATACCTTTTTAAAAACATACTCATTGAGATATAATTTGCACACCACAAAATTCACCTCTCATAAGGAGGCAATTTAATTATTTTTAATAAACCTACAGAGTGGTGCCACCAAATATTAGCTATTAGATTGGCAACCACATCCAATATTAGAACACTTGACTCATTCCAAAAAAGACCCTCCAGACCCTCATGCCATCTTCAATCAATCTCTGTGCTCACCTCCAGCTCACCAGGCAACTAACCTTTCTCTTTCTATAGATTTACACTTTTCTGGACATTTCAGATATATAGAATCATACAATATGTGGTCTTTACATCTGGCTTTTACTAATTATGTTTTTGAGGTTCATTCATGTTGTGACACTTATCCATACTTTTGTTCCTTTTTATTGCTGAATAGTATTCCACTGTATGGATATACCACATTTTATTTATCCATTTACCAGTTGATGGATATTTGGATTGTTTCCACTTGTTGGTGCTTATGAATAATGCTGCTGTAAACATTCATATACAAGTCTGTGTGTGGATATGTTTTCAGTTCTTTGGAGTAGATACCTAAGTGTGGAATCACTAGGTCATATGATTAATCTATATTTACTTTTTTCTTTTTTTTGAGTCGGAGTCTTGCTTTGTCACCCAGGCTGGAGTGCAGTGGCACAATCTTGGCTCTCTGCAACCTCCGCCTCCCTGGTTCATGCCATTCTCCTGCTTCAGCCTCCTGAGTAGCTGGGACTACAGGTGCCTGCCACCAAGCCCAGCTAATTTTTTGTATTTTTAGTAGAGATGGGGTTTCACTGTGTTAGCCAGGATGGTCTCAATCTCCTGACCTCGTGATCTGCCTACCTCGGCCTCCCAAAAGTGCTGGGATTACAGGCATGAGCCACCGTGCCCAGTCAATCGATATTTAATTTTTTTAACTGCCAACCTGTTTTCCAAAGAGGCTGCACATTTTACATTCCCACACCATGAATGAGGATTCCGGTTTCTCCATGTTTTTGTCAACACTTACTATTGTCTGTCTGTTTTGTTGTAGTCATTCTAGTGGGTGTAAAATAGTATCTCACTGTGGCTTTGATTTGTGTTTCCCAAATTACTAATGATATTGAGTGTCTTTTCATTTGCTTGTTAATCATTTGTATATCTTATTAGTGAAACATCTACTCAAATATTTTGCCAATTTTTAATGGGTTTATTTTCTTATGTGATTGTAAGAGTTCTTTCTGTATTCTGGATATAAGTCCTTTATATGAAATATGATTTGCAAATATTTTCTCCCAGTGGCTTATCTGTTTATTTTCTTAATAATGTTTTTTGAAAAGCAAAAGTTGTTTTTGATGAAATATAATTTATCTGTTTTATAGATTGTGCTTTTGCTGATGTATGTAAGAACTCTGTCTAAGCCTGTCACACGGATTTTCTCCTGTATTTTCTTCTAAGAGTTTTATAGTTTTAGCTCTTCTTTAGATCTATGATCTATTTCAGCTAACTTTTGTGTATGATATGAGGTAAGGATCTAAATTCATCCTATTTCATATGGATATTCAATTGTTCCAGCACTGTTTGTTAGAGGCCATTTTTTTTCCTTATTGAATTGCCTTGGCATCTTTGCCTAAAATAAATTCACCATAAATGTAAGGGATTATTTTTGGATTTTCTATTCTATTCCATTAATCTATGTCTTATGTCAGTGCCACACTCTCTTAAATACTAGGTTTTTAATAAATTTTAAAATCAAGAAATATAATTCTTCTAACTTCCTTTTTTGTTTTCAAAATTGTTTTTGCTATTCTGGGTCCTCTATAATGAATTTTAGGATCAGCTGGTAAATTTCTGTGAAGTAGCCTGCTGGGACTTTGATAGGTATAGTATTGAATCTATAGATCAATTTGGGGAGAATTTCTACCTTAAAATTTTTGTATCTTTCGAGTCATGAATGTGGTATGTTTTTCCATGGAGATCTTTAGCCCTCTCAAAAATATTTTGTTTTCTTTAACTTCTTTTATTACAATTTATTTCTAAGTGTTTTATTCTTTTTGTGTTATTATGAATGGGACTGTTAATTTTATCTTGGGGATTGGTCATTGTTAATATACAGAAATAAAATTAATTTTTGCGTATGTATTGTGTATCCAGTGACCTTGATGAATTTGTTTATTAATTCTAGTATTTGTGTGTGTGTGTGTGTGTGTGTGTGTGTCTTTAGGATTTTCTACATAGAGGAGTTTACCAACACTCCAAGTCCTTTTACCTCTATTCATTTAGTTGTATTTACCCTTAAATCCTTTGGCCTTCATGCCTACTTCCAGGTTGTTAAACACTAAATCCTTAGTGAGGAATCCTCAATATTCTGCTTAGGCTCCTTGGTGCTATTCATCTCTTAGCAGCCGTTTTTCTTGCCTCTTATTTCACAGAGAAGGTTAAGGTTACCAATAGAGGCAAATTTATTGTGAACCAGATGATGCTTAAGTTTCAGAGTCTCTCACTTAGGACTTCCTTCCAAGGTTCTGAGAAGGTTTCTGGTGAAAGCAAGATGATTGAGTTGTAATTTGGTTAAAAATTCTCTTTCTACTCAGGTTTTTCCTCTCGCTCACTTTTTAAAAAATTAATTATTTTTTGTGATTCTTCTGTTGTAAGTATACCATTGGAGTAGTCACAGGCATTTGGAGGATCTGAGTAAGGGAAAGTTGACGTAGGAGTACACCATTATAATTGCCATTTGGAAAGATACTTTAGAATGCTTTAATGAAACAAGCAAGAAATTACATTAATTTGGATATATATAGATTTTTAAAATTAAATAAAAGCATTTATAAGCAAATTAAGCAATAGAAATTATTGTGGCCTAAAGAAGCAAGCTGTAACAACTTCTTTGATTACATCAAAGCAAATTTATTAATAGAAAGAGATAATTTTTTAAAGTTCTTGGGTTATTTGATAATCTAATGTAAGGGAGTTAATTATTCAGATACATTGGAGAAAGATTTAAGTTTACACTGATTTTACAGATATGACTAACATCATTGAATGTAACATACAAATCATAATACACTACTTCAGGCAGACCATCTAAGATAAATTGACCCATGAGTTTCATTATTTCAAAGACAATTTAATCGCTTTCCAAGAAAACTTGAAATGACAAAATCTTATGTATGAGAAAAGTTTAATAAGAATTTCCCTAAATTTGACAATGCTAAGAATTTATGTGGCATTACTGATCATCAAATTACTAATTACTAATTACCAAAGGCCTCCCAGATACAGTGGACACTATTCAGCCCTTTTCTGCAGACTTAAACACTGATCACTACATTTTTCTTAAAATATTCATATCCCCTGGCTTTTCTGACATTATTCTTTTGGCTTATCTTCTGACTCACTGATAAGTTCCCCCTAGTCTCCTCTGAGGGATTCTTTTTAGTTTCAGTCGCTTAAATGTTTGTGTTGTCCAATGTGTTATCCCTAGCACTTCTCATTTTTCCATTTCTCCAACTGAGGAGGAATTTATTTTATTTACTCTTTCATTCAATATTTGTTGAAAACATATTATGCAGTAGGCACTGTGCTAGATGCTAGAGAGACTGTGATGAGCAAGATAGATATAACCTCTGCCTTATACTCAGGGATACAAATATTGACATACTCTCATGGCTTCAGTCATCACCTTTTTGCTGCTCTCAAATCTGTGTCTGTATTTTATTTGATTATTAAGATAACTGAAACCAGAATAAAATCACTGAGATGACAAAAATGTGGTTACTTTGAGCTGTCAGATTTTATGAAGCAAATGCACTGGATCAGTCACTTTGAATTGTTTTACTTATTATTACCCCAGATTTTTCACTGCCTATATAACCATGGTATGCGGGACAAATGCTGTATAAGACTTTAAGATTCTCATTTAGGATCTAAGACTAAATTGCTCTGACCTAATTTTCTCCACTAAATGCTTACTGTTGAATATAGATGTGTATGAAGGTAGTTAGCTGTCTTTCTTTGTAGTTAAAATAATGGCAAAATGGAAGTGAGTTAGAGTGACCATACACTTCAGTTTACCTGAGATATTCCTAGTTTATTTGTTGTTTCAGCATAATATGAATACCACCTTCTGCTTTCAAAATTGTCTCCAATTAGACAGTAGATTATATGGTCACTCTAAAACTATTTTTGGAGAAGTTTACTATGCTTACTATTTTTTAAAATCCTATTTTTCTTTTTCTTTTTTTAATTTGCAGTCAAAGATTGTCAGAGTACAAATATTTCTGGAATAAGACTCTTTCATTACTTACTTTTACTAAAAGGGAGCTCACCAGTATTAAAAATGAAGTGTATGATAGTTACCAAAACTGGACTTCATTGAAAGGAGAAATTTTTCTACAAATTAAATCTATAAGTGAAACAGCCTTGACAGGTTTGTTACATATATTTAGAATATAATTGTCCCTTTTTGGTAAATGGTACATCATAAGTAATAAAATAATGGTATTTCATTTTATTTGATGGAAATTAGGATTAACTTTGTTATCACTTGGTAGAGTAGATGACCATTAAGATCTATTTCAACTCTGAAATTTAATTATTATAGGTTTATCTAAGATAAGCTGTGATACATCTATCTTGAACTGTGGCCAGAAGTCTGTTCATTACTGTTAAAACTACTAATTTATGTTTTTAAAACTCCTCTTCTCTTAATGAGTGAGTAGCTCATACTAGGTCAGCCTTCTTATAGATAGCAACTATAAATTCTAGAAAAATAGCTACCTAAAGACAGTAAAGAGTGACCCAAACCAAACACATAATGGAGGGAGTATCAAAAATTAAAAGAAGGCATACTAAGTGAAAGATGCCCATTTGAAAAGGCTACATACTATATTATTCCAACTACGAAGTTCTGGAAAAGATAAAACTATGGAATAGTTAAAGAATCAGTGGTTGCCACGAGTTCCAGGCAGAGGATAAATGAGAAGAGAAAAGAAGATTTTTAGGGCAGTGAAACTAATCTGTATAATACTACAGTAGTGGAGACATGTCATTATACATTTGTCAAAGTTCATAGGATGTACAACACAAAGAATGAACCCTAATGTAAACTATAAATTTTCGGTAGTAATAATAATGTTGATTCATCAATTGTAACAAGTACTACTCTCCTGAAGGGTGTCCATTGTTGGGGAGGATTTGCGTGTGTGGAGAGAGGGGGATATGGGAATTCTCCATACTTTCTGCTCAAATTTCCTGTGAACCTAAAACTGTTCTAAAAAATAGTCCATTAAAGGTTTTTTTTTGTTTGTTTTTTGTTTTTTGTTTTTTAATGTTGAAAGAAATGCATGGCAGTGAGTGAATTTTTTCTTTTTAAGGATATTGGACTGAGAGCAGGATACAGTTTGCTCCATGCAAAGAAGCTAAAAATCTGATAGAAAACTGTAGACTAGAGGATAGAGATCAAGGCAACCTCACTCTCTGAGAAGTAAAGGGATATCCCAGAGAAGTGAAAGCCAGAGAAACAGAGCTCAAATTTTGCATATAAACTCTTTCCAAATCTCAGGCTTATCCCTGAAATAATGTGCTCAAGGAAGATGCTAAATAGTCCATCTGAAACTAAAGTAATTGATATTTTAGCTGTCACCTACCCTACGGGAAACAGATTTAACACTTGAAGTTTAGCTAGATTAACTCCTTGTTACAACAATACAAGAAAAAATAAATACTCTTTGCAAGAACATAAGAATCCAGAGTCTCTGTAACATAACACCCACAATGTTTAGTATACAATCCAAAATTACTCATAACCAAAAGAATAGAGACTGGTTGACTAAGATGATATAATTAGCTGGCCAGGATTTCAAATTAGCTATCATAACAGTGCTCAAGGATATAAAGGAAAATATACTAGTAAGGAATAAAAAGAAAATCTGAGTAAGCAACTATTAAAAAGTGAGAAATTCAAGAATTGAAAAATATGGTGTCTGAAATAAAATTTCACTGGATGGACTTTTATAGCATATTGCATTTACAGAAAAAAGAATCAGTGAATTTTAAAATAAATCAATAGAAATTATTCAATTTAAAGAGAGAGATAAACATTGAAAAAAACTGAATGGAGCCCCAGCATCCTCGGGAAAGAATAAAATGCACCGTAAGTGACAAGTATGAGTAAATATAAAAGACTCCTTTTCTTTTAAATTTTTTAAAACTCACATGCTTATTTAAAGCAAGCATTATTATTTTGTAGGGCTTATAAAGTGTGTCAATGTAACATGACAACTAGAGTCTAAAGGTTGGAGAGGTGGATAAATGGATTCATTTGGTTGCACTATATTTGTATTTTATGTGACATGGTAGAATATTTAAACCAATAAATAAAGTAGTATAGTATAATTTCTAGAGCAACTACTAAAAAATTAAATACAGAAACATGTAGCTAAAAAGCTAATACATAATTTAAAAGATAACTCTTTAAAAAGTATTCAAACAATCCAAAAGATGGCATTTTAAACATCATCTAAGATTTATGCAGTAATCAAATCAGTATAGTGCTGGCATATGGATCAACGAAGAGGAATGGAACAAGATAGCCTGATAAATTACCCTACTTATATAATCAATTGACTTTTGACAAAGACACCAAAACAATCCAATGAGAAAAAGAAAGTCTTTCAACAAATTGTGCTAGAACAACTGAATACCCATGTAGAAAAATATACCTCAACTTCTGCCTCACACCATACATGAGAATTAATTTAGGATAAATCATAACCTAAATGCAAAGGATAAAATTATAAAACTACTAGAAGAAACGTAACAAAATATCTTCATGACTTGATGGTAAATGAAGATTTCATGGATAGGACATAGAAGTAAGAACTATAAAAAAATGAAAATTGGTGAATTAGATTTTATCATCATTAAAACATCTGTTCATCAGAAGCTATCAGTACGAAAATGAATAGTTAAATCACAGAGAAAATATTTACAAAATGTGTGACAAAGAACTGTTGTCCAAGTTACATAAAGAATGCCTACAAGTCAATAATAAAAGTATTCAATCAAAAATGACCAAAAGATCTGAACAGACACTTTACACAAGAAGATACATAAATGGCTAACAAAGACACAAAAAT